TTACTTATTTTTGGCTGAGCTGGGTCTTGGTTGCTGCGAAGCTTTCTCCAGTTGCCAGGAGCAGGGGTTACCCTTCGTTGCCGTGCTCAGGGTTCTGATTGCAGTGGCTTCTCTTGTTGTGGAGCACGGGCTCTGGGGCGCTTGGCCTTCAGAAGTTGGGGCTCCCAGACTCTGGAGCACAGGCTCAGTAGTTGTGGAGCATGGGCTTAAGTGCTCCAGGGCGTGTGGAATCTTCCCAGATCAGGGATTGAAGCCATGTCCCCTGCATTGGCACTGACCACTGGGCAACCAGGGAAGTCCTGTTTTTGTGTTTTGTTTTTCCTATTGAGTTATTTATTTGTTTTAGATATTAACCCTTTATCAGATATATGATTCACAAGTATTTTCTCCCATTTCATAGGTTACTTTTTAGTTTTGTGGATGGTTTCCTTTGCTGTGTGAAAGTCTTTTAGTTTGATGTAATCCCACTGTTTATTTTTGCTTTTGTTGCTTTTATTTTTGGTATCAGATTTTTTAAAAACTCACCAAGACCTATGTAAAGGAGCTTACAACTTGTGTTTTCTTCTGGGATTTTTATGGTTTCAGGTCTTACATTGTGTAAGTCTTTATCTTGAATTCATTTTTGTGTATGGTATAAGGCAGTGGTCCAGTTTTACTCTTTTCCAGTGTCTGTTACAGTCTTTTCCAGTGACAGTCCAGTTTTCCCAACACCATTTTTTGAAGAGACTGTCCTTTCTCCATTGTATATTCTTGCCTTCTTTGTTGTAGATTAATTGACCGTAAGTGTGTGGGTTTATTTCTGGGCTCTCTATTCTGTTCTATTGATCTACATTTTTTTGCCAATATCATACCATTAGTATATCTTTGTGATATAGCCTGAAGTTGGGAAGCATGATGCTTTCAACTTTGTTCTTCTTTTTCAAGATTGCTTTGGCAATCTTGTCTTTTGTGGTTCCATACAAATTTTAGAATTATTCATTGTAGTTCTGTGAAAATTGTCATTTGTATTTTAATAGAGATTGCATTGACTCTGTTTACTGCCTTGGGTAGTATGGACATCTTAGCAATATTAATTCTTCCAGTCCTTGAGGTTCCCCAGTGGCTCAGTGGTAAAGAATCTGCGGGCCAGTACAGGAGACCTGGGTTTGATCCCTAGGCCTGGAAGATCCCCTGGAGAAGGAAATGGCCCAACTCCAGTATTCTTGCCTGGGAAATCCCATGGACTGCAGTCCATAGGATTGCAAAGAGACAGACACAACTTGGCAACCGAACAACAACAAGCAACAACAATCCTTGAGCATGGGATATGGTTCTTTTTTTTGGGGGAGGGGGGAAGATATGGTTCTTTTGTGTGTGTCTTTTCCAATTTCTTTCCTTAATGTCTTGTACTTTTTAGTGTGCAAGTCTTTTACCTCCTTGGTTAAATTTACTCCTGGGTATTTTATTCCTGTTGATGCAGTTGTAAATTGAAATTTTTTCTTATTTCTCTGAAATTTCATCATTAATTCATAGAAATGCACTAATTTTTGTGCATTGATTTTGCATCCCACAACAGTATTGGATTCATTTATTAGTTCTAACAGCTTTTTATGGAGTCTTTAGTGTTTTCTATAAAAGAGGAGATATCACAGAAATACAAAGGATAATAAGAGACTACTGTGAACAGTTATATACCAACAAATTGGACAACCTAGATGAAATGGATGCATTCCTAAAAACAAGACGGAATCATGAAGAAATTAAAAATCTGAATAAACTGATTACTACTAAGGAGATTGAAAACTCTCCCAACAAACCAAAGTCCAGGGTTAGATGGTTTCACTGGTGAATTCTATCCAAGAAGAATTAATACCAATTGTTCTCAAACTCTTCCAAAAAAATAGAAGAGGAAGGAACTCTTTCAACTTTATTTTACAAGGCCAGAATCACCCTGATATCAAAACCACACAAGGACTCCACAAGAAAAGAAAATTAAAGGCCAATATCCCTGATGAACACAGATGCAAAACTCCTCAATAAATATTTGCAAACAAAGTTCAACAGTGCATTAAAGGAGCATACACAATGATCAATAAAACCACACAAGGACTCCACAAGAAAAGAAAATTAAAGGCCAATATCCCTGATGAACACAGATGCAAAACTCCTCAATAAATATTTGCAAACAAAGTTCAACAATGCATTAAAGGAGCATACACAATGATCAAGTGGTGTTTTTTCTGGGGATGCAAGGCTGGTTTAATATCCACAAAGCAGTCAATATGATACACCACACTAACAAAGTGAAGGGTAAAAATCAGATAATCAGCTAAATAGATGCAGAAAAAGCTTTTGATAAAATTTAACATTTATGTTAAAAAATCTCAACAAAACAGGCATAGAGAGAACATACCTCAACATATTAAAGGCCCTTCCCTGGTGGCTCAGTTGGTAAAGAGTCTGCCTGCAATTCAGGAGACCTGGGTTTGATCCCTGGGTAGGGAAGATCCCCTGGAGAAGGAAATGGCAACACACTCCAGTACTGTTGCCTGGAGAATTTCATGGACAGAGGATTGGGGCAGGCTGCAGTCCGTGGGATTGCAGAGTCAGACATGACTGTGCGACTAACTTTTTCTTTCACGCTAAGCCCTAGCTAACACCATACTCAAAGGTGAAAAGCTGTAAACGTTACTTCTAAAATCAGGAACAAGAAAAGGATGCCCACTCTTGCCAGTTTTACTTGACACAGTATTTGGAAGTCCTAGCTTGAGCAATTAGACAAGCAATTAGGTGGACTAATTAAACAATTAAAAAGAACAAAGTGAAGAATTCTTTGAAGTTGTAAAATTGTATTAGTAACCTGAGATTCCTCCCCACTACATATATTATAAAGTCAAAAAATGAGAAAAAGAACCATTTCAATGAATACAAAATTCTTTAATGGGGTAATGAATGATACTTTCTGTTTTTTATCAACCTCACCCTTTAAGGTATTTCTTTATTAGGGATTTTTTTTTACAAACTATGAAGAAGAATGAATTAAAAGAACTGGGAGTTAGAGATGGACAGGGAGGCCTGGCGTGCTGCAGTCCATGGGGTCACAAAGGGTCGGACACGACTGAGCGACTGAACTGAACTGAGGCAGAGTTTGGGGCTTTCCTGGTGGCTCAGACAGTAAAGAATCTGCCTGCAGTGCAGCAGACCCAGGTCTTTCCTGATTGATACTATCCTGAAAAAGTTAAAATATCTGCAGACATGAAAAAAATTTCTTTATTCAGATACAGGCCAAAAAAAAAGGCTATCTTGGTAACACAACCAAAGTCTCAGGTGTGAATAAAATTGGTTGGTAGATTACACATTTAAATAAGTGTCTCTTAATTACAACTTTGAATTGGAATTTCTTTAAGAATAATATTATATTGGGACTTCTCTGGCCGTCCAGCCGTTAAGACTCCATGCTTCTGACACAGGGGGCACAGGTTCGATCCCTGGTCAGGGTACTAAGATCCCATATGCCATGGGGCATGGCCAAAAAATTAAAAAAAAAAAANAAGACATAGCATGCAACAATAAACACCTTTTCTGAGAATTACAAGTATTTTTTTGCTTGTAGAGCTTATGGTGGGGGTCCTACACTGCCATGACCACCATACCTTATTTCCTTTATTTTAGGCTTGGAACAAGGGGAAGGCCTCAAGTCTTTTGTTTTTTAATATTTATTTTTATTTATTTATTCATTTGGCTGCTCCCGGTCTTACTTATGGCATGCAGGGTCTAATTCCCATACCAGGGATTGAACCTGGGCCCCCTGCATTGCGAGCACAAAGTCTTAGCCCCTGGATCATCAAGGAAGTCCCCTTTCAGGCTTTTAAGGCTAGTATCCTAGTGGTTAACGGAAAGGAGATCCAACTTCAAGGAAAACTTGTGTTGTAGGCTGAATTTTGGAGCAGAGTTTTAAAATGCAGTCCAAGAAAGCCTTTCAACAAAGAGGACACCAGAAGAGTATGTCAAGTCCAACAAAACGCTTTGTGTGACAGCAACCTACTTCCTGCAATTATAGGTTCTTGTGCAAAGAAGGAAGATGAGTCAGAAATCGGTGTTCTAAACTTCTTTTCCTGTAACAGTAAGGCTTCCTTTCCAGGGCAATTTCATATGGACTATCACCCAGTTTTTATTTCCAAACAGTAATTTTCTCTTTTTATTTACTGCTGTACCATTTAAATGCTCATCTAAACAAGTAGTTTGATGCACTAACTTAAAAACTACAGACTCTACATGAAATACCGAAATCAATTAGCCTTAGAAAAGCGGCAACAAAAGTGATCTGGAAAATTCGTGCAGCTTTGGAGTTTTTAATCTGTTTTCCAGTGTTTTAGACAAGCAAGGCCTTTGCCACGTGCTTTACACAGTAAATTCTTCATAAACATCCGCTCAGTGATTTTACACAATCACGCTCCCACGCTTCTCGGCCGGCTCGCGAAGTTCCCCGTTTCTCCGGGCGGGGTGCGGTTGGGGGCGGGTGTGTCACTTCCCCAGGTTTCTGGGCACTGGAGCTCCTGTTGCATAAGCTCGGCCCCTGGCCACTGGGACCCGGCGTGGCGCAAGGCGCGGCGTGATATCCCACACCCGCTCCTCGAGATCCGCTAGGTAAAGCGAGATGCTCTATGACACTCGTGGATCCTGGGCCCGCGATTCTGGCGCCAAGGTCTGCGCAGGGGAGGTGCCAGAGCAGGCCACGCCCCCACAGCAACAACACACCCCCTGCCGCCGCTCCGTCAGGTGCGCGTGCGCCACCGCCCCGCCCGCCAGCCCCGCCCTTGCCCCGCCCCCTGTCGCCGCTTCTTCAGGTGCGCGTGCGCCGCGGCGCCGCTTGCAGACCGGACTCGCTCTTTCTTGGCTGGGTAGTGAGACTTCACTTCTCCGCTCTTCTCAGCGGCCTCGTCGGCGCGCGCCCTCCGGCCCCTGCCGGGAGTCGCCCGGCTCCCGGCCGGTCTCCTTGTGGTCAGCCCGGCGGCGCGTCCATGGCGTGGCGGCGGCGGCCCGAGGCCCGGGGCGCGCTGGCGCTGCTTGCGCTGGCCCTGTGCGCTCCTGGGGCCCGGGGCCGGGCTCACGAGTGGTTCTCGGCTGTGGTGAGCACCGAGTACGTGGACCCGCAGACCAACCGGAGCGTGAGGAGCGTCTCGGAGAGCGGCCGCTTCGGCGACAGCTCGCCCAAGGAGGGCGCGCGGGGCCTGGTGGGCGTCCCGCGCGCGGAGGACCGCGACCCCGAGGGCTGCGAGGCCGGCACTCGCTTCCTCGTGCCCGGCGGCCGGGGCACCGCTCCCTGGGTCGCGCTGGTGGCGCGCGGGGGCTGCACCTTCAAGGAGAAGGTGTTGGCGGCGGCGCGGAGGAACGCCTCGGCGGTGGTCCTGTACAACGAGGAGCGCCAAGGCAACCTCACCGCGCCCATGTCCCACGCTGGTGAGCCGCCGGCGCGCGGGCACGGGCGGGGCAGGGTGGGGCGGCCGTGCACCGGAGTCCCAGCCGACCGCGAGGTCTTCTGTCGGGACCCCGAGGGGCGGCGGTGATGGGCTCCGGACATCGGGACCTGCAAGGGTAGCGCCAGCTTGGCTCGGTGTGACCCCCCGGTGCTCTAAGGAGGGAGGCGAGCGTCCGGACAGGATTACATCTTCTCCCCGGGTCGTTCAGATGATAGGTATCCTGTGCAGGAAGGAGGGCGGTGGGGAGAACGGAAGATTTCAAATCCCGCATGAGGAGGATTGTGGTTCTCACCGGCGGAAAGTCTCTTTAATCAGGAGTCCCTTGCCAGTGTTTCCCAAAGTCAGATGGGGCTGGAGTGGAAGCTCTTTTCCAGGACTTTGCCGGGTCTGGCAGTCCCTTCACCATGTAAGGCGGTGGCTCGGTGACACTGTGGTTTCTCCACTTTAATAATGTACATCAATATTCTAAACTTTAAAGTGAGACAGTCTGGATTTAACTGAGTCCAAAAACTCGGCCTTAAGTTGAATATGTTTTCTCACTTGCTAAATAGAAGATTGTAATACTGGCTCCTTTGTCAGAGTCCTTGAGTGGAGTTTAGATGAAATTTTCTAAAGTGAACATGCAGGGAAAGATTTTGTTCTTAGCTAGGCAACCCTTCCCACAGGCGGTTTTCGGAGGCAACAGGTTACATCTTCAAGCACTTGTGAGAGTTTGAAAGGTTTATTTTGCAAGGGTTCTCATTCTCAGAAAGGGCTTCCTGGGTGGCTCAGCGGTGAAGAATCTGCCTGCAATGCAGGAGACTCAGGTTTGATCCCTAGGTCAGGAAGAACCCCTGGAGGAGGGCCTGGGCAAGCCACTCCAGTAGTCTTGCCTGCATAGTCCCATGGACAAGCCTGGTGGACTACAGCCCATAAGGTCACAAAGAGTCGGACACAACTGAAGGAACTTAGCATACAGGCATACATCATTCTCAGAACTGAAATTCCAAGTACTATTCAACTGATACAGAGTGTGATGGCCTTCTAAGATCAGACTCATTCTGAACTTCCTGGGATCAAAATCTTTAGTTTCTGTTGCTGCAAGTCAGACATCCTTTTTCCCCTGTACTTTTTGACTTTTGTTCTGTTTTGGCTTCTTAAATGAAAGTTCAGAATACCTGTAAGATGAGGATAGAAGGGTGACTTTGGACTTGGCCTGTTTTAGCAGAGTGATGGAACGGAAGTCAGTTCAGAGGTGGGGAAGTGAGACTGTTAGAATGATGCTTTCAAGACGGTGGCTGGCGAGGGCTCGGGAGGTGCTGAGCAGTGGGGTAGAAGCTGGGGTGGTGCTGAGCAATGGGGTAGAAGCTTGGGGAGAGGTGGGATGAACGGCATAGTGAGTGAGGCATGTTGAAGTTGGATGGTGAAGAAGAGGTAACTGAAAGAGTCAGGTCTTTGGGAAGGATGGCGGCTATGTCCAGGATTCTTGGAGGGGTTGACCTCCGATAGCAGAGGGGGGAATTCCTCAATTGCAACAGAGAGGAAGTGGGTTTGGGGAGGAAATGGGAGCAGATGTCCATGTGGTGGCATTGGGCAAGGCAGCACCTTTGGTGCAGTTATTCCAGTTGTTTTTTACCCAAGTCTTGTTTCTGCAAGACTCTCATGAGAAGTGCTGTTGGAGTTCACAGAGCGTTCCAGACGCATCCTGTGGACAGGGTTCTGTTGGAGAAGAGAGGGCAATGTGCCAGGATTCTCCGATGCTGGGTCCTTGCGTTCACTTTTGAGTCTGCAGCTTCCTGTGGGCTTTCTCTTTTCCATGGCAGTTCTTTTCCATCCCACAATTTTCTAAATGTGTTTACTGCATTTTTTGGCAATGACACTAACATCCTTCCAGGCTAATCGCACTTTTCTAACCATGGTTCAGCAGTCTTGCTTGCTTATCTTACTGACATATAATTTATCCAGGTTCAGAAAGCCCCTCATTGATGCTCATTTTAAATCTTCTTGCAAGCTTCTGTTACCATTCTCAGTGTCCATTTTAGTCTGTTTCAGTGTAAGATTAATTCTGTTTGAGGAAAGAGACAAAAGTAACAGCATTAGCAGTTTTTAAAAAAAATGTATGAAAGTTCCCAGTGCAGAGTCAGTTCTCTGCTTACAGCCCTTTGAGGTAGGTGCTTTAACCCCATTTTACAGATGAGGAGACTGATGTTCAAAGAATTGAAATGACTGGCCCCCAGGAACAAGGCAATCTATGGCCAGATAATTCTTTATTGCAGGGGCCTGTCTTGGCCTGTATCCACAGGATTCCAGTTGTGACAGCCAGAAATGTCTCCAGATATTGCCAAATGTCCGGGGGCAGAGAGGATGGCAGTAACATCCCGGATTTGAACTGCTGACTTAAAAGGAGACCAGTGGGTTACACAGAAGAAAAGCTGAAATCCACTTAGTCCATTGGCTAGTCCAAGCAGAAATATAAGGGTCTGTGCTGTGTTGGTGACTAGAAATGGAAAAGGTCCCTTTCATTCTCAGAACTCAGTCCTGCTGGGGACAAGGGTACAACTGTGTCATGTCTTTTTGAGAATGGATTGGTGTTAAGAATGGAGTGAATGAAACTAAGTCAGAAGAGGAGCTGGCTTTGACAGACTTGGATTTTAAAGGTTACACAGAACCTTGACAGCAGCTCACACTTTGTAGTTTTTCCTATTTTGTCAGAATGTGGCTGGAGCCAGTAAAAACTACTGATCCATGGTTCTCAATGTTCCTGTGATACTTGGGGTCTGTGTACATAGATCAGGTGGCTGCTCCTGAACTCCGATTGTGATGATCTCCTCCCAAGTCTCAGAATTTCAACAGTTTTTCTTTTTTCTTTGTTTTGGCTGTGCCAGTTCCTCACTGCTTCACGGGCTTTCCTCTAGTTGTGTCAAACGGGGACTACTCTCTAGTTGCAGGTTTCTCACCGTGGTGCCTTCTGTTGGGGGGGGNCTAGTGGTAAAGAACCTACCTGCCAAAGCAGGAGATATAAGAGACTCGGGTTTGGTCCCTGGGTCGGGAAGATCCCCTGGAGGAAGAAATTGCAACCCACTGCAGTATTCTTGCCTGGAGAATCTCATAGACAGAGGAGCCTGACGGGCTGCAGTCCACGGGGTCACTAAGAGTTGGACGCGACTGAAGCGACTTCCCATGCACACATACTCTTGCGGGGCGCGGACTTAAGTAGTTGCTGCTCCTGGGCTCAGCCTCTAGAGCACAGGCTCAGTAGTTGTGGGGCAAGGGCTTGAATTAGTTGCTCCTTGGCACATGGGACCTTCCTCCATCAGGGATTGAACCCGCGTCTCCTGCATTATCAGGCTGATTCTTTACCACTGGGCCACCAGGGGAGCCCCTCAGCAGTTTTCCTAAACCCTGTTGCTTGACCGCTAAGATCTAGTACAAGACGTGGACTGAAGTCAATGTTTTACTGTGGCTCACTTTAAGATAATATTCAGGACTGTAACAGCCCTACGTGTGAGGACTGTTACTGTAATGCCCAGGGTTGGTTCCCTTTCCTTTGACAGATGAATGGAGAGTGGCCAGTCTGGGCCACATACGGCACCTGCTTGCAGGTAGAAATGCCTAAGACACATACCAGCCTTTGAGGAGTTCACAGCGTAGTGGAGTGATAAACAGACCTTTCCAGGCCCTATGGTTGGGCCCTCAACAGAATTATATGCCCAAGTGCTTAGAAAGCATAAAGGAGAGGCATCCAATGTAGGTCCTGCAAAGGTGATTAGAGACTATTTTGACCAAGAAGAGTAAAAATTGATATAAGTCAAGCCGTTGAAACGAAAGCTTTTAGAGAGGATTGGCCTTGATGTGGTGACTGCTAGTTAATTACAGGCCAATCCTCCAGCTGACGTCTTGAGTGGCTGTTTAGACCGGCACTTTCCTTGTGTCAGCAGTTTACTGAGGCCAGGTGTTGGCAGGACTGAAAGGTGTGTTTGGGGAAGGGACCAGCGTGGGGGTGGCGGGAGATGACACGTGATGAAAAGTCCCTTAGCTTGAGAGAGATGTACACTGTGTTTGCAGAGCGTGGGAAATGGTCTTTTATGAGTGAGTGGTGCTCAGTGATCTTGAATGCTTTGCCCTCACAAATGAGCTAAACATTTAGATTTGAGTTTAGCTTGTATTTTGGTGCCCTAGGAGGAGATGGTGCCCTGCAGCCTCATAGCAGGTGGGATTAACTCAGACTGTTCCCAGCTAGCAGGCAGACGGAGTCTTAAAGGACAGCTTAAGTTGAAAGTTTCTGGGTGAATGTGGTATGGGGGCTATGTGAGGAGCTGTAGGACCTTTTGGGTGACAAGAGTGGCCTTGCCCAAGACCGAAGGACTGAGATGAAGTAATGCATTTAGCAAAACTGCAAAGATTGTTGAGTGCTGTACTCGACAAATACAGAATATTCTTGAGCAAGCCAGATTTCTCCAAAACAAAATGTGAAATTCTGAGACGAGAATTGCATGTATTTTTGAGTCCTCATCACTCATCCCAGCCAACCATAAAGACATTTGTGTTTTGCATGATAGCTCACGTTCTGGAGACGTTTCCATTCCATTCATATTCCATGTACTACTTCCCCTGCAAAGAGAGTCTCTGATATCCTCCTCCCCTTGGGTCAGTTCAAGGATAATAACCAGAAGAGAAACCAGTTTTTCAGGTCAACTCATTCATACAGAAACCATTCTATTGGGTCATCCTGTATGACGCTGGAGCTACAAAAACTAATGAATAAGAACAGTAGTCCTCACCTGGTGAGGAGGAGGGACTCACAAAGACGTTGTGTGTGTGCGTGCTAAGTCGCTTCAGTCGTGTTCGACTCTTTGTGACCCTGTGGACTGTAGCCCGACAGGCTTCTCTGTCCATGAGGTTCTCCAGGCAAGAAAACTGGAGTGGGTTGCCGTGGCCTCCTCCAGGGGATCTTCCCGGCCCAGGGATTTAACACACATCTCTTATGTCTCCTGCATTGGC